CGAATTTAATGGACTTTGAATTATTTTTGAAACCTTTTAAAACTTTGAATATATTCAATTAAGTCCAAAAACATTTTGTAAATTCAATTCAAGTCCAAAAACCATTTTGCCTTAAATTGTTATATCAAAACATAGTTCAACACGGAAGGAACATCAGTGGCTCAACACCTAAATGAACTCAACACAATCACAACCCAGTTGAGTTCCGTGGAAATTGAATTCGATGATGAAGTTAGAGCTTTAATTCTCTTATCATCTCTACCATATAGTTGTAATGTTATTGTTACAGCAGTCAGCAGCTCGTCGGGAAACAAAATAAATTAAAATTCGACGATGTTCGAGATCTGATATTGAGTGAAGAAATTCGACAGAGAGAATCAGGTGAAGCATCAACCTCCTCAGCCTTGTACACAAATTCTAGAGGGAGAACTTCAGAAAGAAATTCAAATCGTGGCAGATCGAAATCCAGAAGGGGAAAATCAAGAACATGAAAGAAAGATTTTACCTGTTATAATTGTGGCAAGAAGGGTCACTTTAAAAGAGATTGTCGAGCACTGAAGAAAGATACCGGCGCACAGGAATCTGCCAACATGACGAGGAGACAGGTGATGCCATGATTCTAAGCGTCAACAGACCGATTGAATCATGGATCTTAGATTCAGGGGCATCTTTCCACTCCACCCCATGACAAGAAATCATGGAGAACTATGTCAGTGGTGATTTTGGAAAAGTTCATCTAGTTGATGATGAAACCTTGAATATCGTCAGAAAAGGAGACATCAGATTAAAGTTGCCAAACTAGACCACCTGGAAGCTGAAAGGAGTGAGACATATTCCTAACCTCAAAAAAGAAATATGATTTCTGTAGGACAGCTTGATGGAGAATGATATAGTATAACCTTTTCAGGCTATGAATGGAAGATTACCAAAGGAGCACTCATCATTGCTCTTGGTAAGAAGACTGGTACTCTCTATGTAACCTCAAATTTAGAGAATATCATTGCAGTAGCAGATGCTGATGGAAAATCAAACATATGGCACCAAAGGCTTGACCATATGAGCGAGAAAGGGATGAAGACACTTTTGTCAAAAGGGAAGCTGACGGATCTAAAGAATGTAGATGTCGGACTATGTGAAGATTGCATCTTTGGCAAACAAAAGATTGGCAAGACACCCAAGGCTGAAAAATTAGAGTTGGTTCATACTGATGTATAGGGACCATCTCCAGTTCCATCTCTTGTAGGCTCACTATATTATGTCACCTTCATCGATGATTCAACAAGGAAGGTGTGGGTTTATTTTCTGAAGAAGAAATCAGAAGTCTTTGATACCTTCAGAAAATGGAAGGACATGGTGGAAAATGAGATTGGTTTGAAAGTCAAGCGGTTGAGGTCTGATAATGGATGAGAGTACAGAAATAGTAGATTCAGAGATTTTTGCACAAACAATGGGATCAAAATGGAGACAACAATTCCCATGACACCACAACAGAATGGCGTAGCAGAGCGCATGAATAAAACTCTGAATGAACGTTCCAAAAAGATGAGGATACATGCCGGATTGCCCAAATTTCTATGGGCTGAAGCTATCAACACTGCAGCTTACCTAATTAACCGTGGGTCCTTAGTTCCCTTGGATGGTGGAATACCAGAGGAATTTTAGAGCAAGAAAGAAATAAACCTTTCACACTTAATAGTGTTTGGTTGTATTTCTTATGTATACATAGATTCTGCTGAAAGAAGTAAACTTGATATCAAGTCCAACAAATGTGTTTTTATTGGTTATGGTGGTGATGAGTTCGGTTATCAGTTTTGGGACTACGAAAATCAAAATATCATCAGAAGCAGAGATGTCATTTTCAATGAGAATGTGATGTACAAAGACAGGTCAACCATATAATCAAGTAGCTCCAATACCGAAGCTGAAACAAAGGAATTTGCTGAGTTCGAGGAGATTTCTGGAAATGATGTTCAGATAAGTCCTCAAGCAGTTCAAGAAGAACCAGGCACACCAGAACTGAGATGCTCCTCCAGAATTCCTAAACCAACCCAACGTTATTCGCCTTCTTTACACTACTTGTTGCTGACTAACAATGGTGAACCAGTGTGCTATGATGAAGCAATGCAGGTGGAAGATTCAGTCAAGTGAAAGTCTTCCATGAAAGATGTGATAGACTCGCTTATGTCAAATCAGACATGGGAATTAGCTGAATTACCACCAAGCAAGAAAGCGCTCCATAACAAGTGGATTTACAGGACCAAAGAAGAGCATGATGGGAGCAAATGCTACAAAGCAAGATTGGTTGTCAAAGGTTTTCAACAAAAAGAATGTACTGATTACAATGAAATTTTCTCTCCAGTCGTAAAACTGTCTACAATCAGACTGATATTGAAAATTATAGCTGTAGAAAATCTACATCTTGAGCAGTTAGATGTAAAGACAACTTTCCTTCATGGTGATTTGGAGGAAGAAATCTATATGAGGCAGCCAGAAGGCTTCATAAAGGCAGACAAGAAAAACCTGGTATGCAGGTTGAAGAAGAGCTTGTATGGTTTAAAACAAGCTCCTAGACAGTGGTACAAGATATTCAATAGTTTCATGAGTAGCAGTGGTTTTACTAGATGCCAAGCAGATCATTGTTGCTACATCAAGAAGTTCGACAACAACTTCATTATTTTATTGTTGTATGTTGATGGGATGCTCGTTGCAGGCTCAGGCATGCAAGAGATTATAAATTTAAAGCAAAAATTGTCGAAGCAGTTTGCTATGAAGGATCTGAGCACTGCAAAGCATATTCTTGGGATGAGGATTAAGAGAGACACAAAGTCGGGGACTCTGATGTTATCACAGGCTGAGTACATCAACAAAGTACTCTCCAAGTTCAACATTCAAGATGCTAAACTAGTAAGTACACCTTTAGGTGTTCATTTTAGACTCTCCAAAGAACAGTCACCAAAGACGGAGGAATAACGTGCACACATGGTGAAGGTGCCATATGCCTCAACAATTGGAAGTCTGATGTATATCATGGTTTGTACTAGACCAGATATTGCTTATGCAGTGGGAGTTGTTAGCAGGTACATGAATAATCCGGGCAAGGTACACTGGGAAGCAGTCAAATGGATCCTCAGATATCTGCGGGGTACCATAAACAAAGCACTTTGTTTCAAAGGTGGAGATACGATACTGACATACTATGTAGATGCTGACTTAGCCGGAAATGTTAACATCAGAAGAATCACTACATGGTATGTCTATACTCTAGGATGAACTGCAGTGAGTTGGGTTTCTCAACTACAGAAGATAGTTGCCCTCTCCACAATTGAAGCAGAATATGTCGTTGTTACGGAAGCCAACAAAGAGATGGTTTGGCTCTAAAGTTTCTTGGAAGAGTTAGGCAAGAAACAAGAAAACAATGTCTTGTATTGCGACAGTCAAAGTGTCATCCATCTAGCGAAGAATCCGTCTTTTCATTCCAGGACGAAGCACATACAATTGCGATATCATTTTATTCGGTCTCTTCTGGAAGATGGGGTTTTGAAACTTGAAAAGATTAGTGGAGCTAAAAATCCGGTAGACATGTTGACAAAGACGGTGACCACGGACAAACTAAAGTTGTGTTCAGCTTCAGTTGACATGCTAGAATAACAAGACTAGAAATGCTGCTGCATTGATCGAGGTGTGAAGAAAAATTAAAATCAGTCTTCAAATGGGAGATTGTTGCAAAGTCAATTTTGGTGAGTTGTAAAAGCAATAAAATTGTTGAATTGTCAAAGCAAATTTTCGGTGGATTGCTGGCAGAGAAGCTTTCAGTGCAAGTGGGCAGCAATTGCTAAATTTTTGAAATGGGTAAAATGCACTTTAGTCATTGCACTTTAGGGTATTTTCAAAGATTAGTCCCTAAGCTTCAACTATAAATACCCTAACCCATTTAGCTTCAAAATCATCCCAAATTATTTTTTCCTCCCAATACTAGAGAGCTTCCTTATGAGTAGTGAGTGTTTTGTAAACACCTGTAAATTTTCTCTATGAGTAAAAGATCTGCAGCAGTCCGGAGACGTAGGCATAATTAGCTTAACTCTGTTATCAATTTCGGGTATTATTTTTCCGCTTTTATTTCGCATTCTTACTAATCTGGTTATAGGGAAATTTCTCATACTCGTTTATTTCCCAACACTGTACACCCACACACACACCAAAAAATTTCAGCTATAAATATAACCACGGAAATAGAGCTCCTAAATACACAAAGCTGTTTCCAGCACAGAATTCTACAGTGACAAAAACAAGACTTGGGAATAGATTTGAAAATAAATACTCTTTAAGAATTTGACATTTTCATACAGACAAATCAAATTAAACCAAACCGAAAGAAAAGATGTGCATTTGGTTAATCTCAAAAATGAACCATATTCGAAAGGCAGAACTGAATGCTTACAGAGCAAGATGTGCATTTGGCTAAAATAACATACGTTTTCCTGTTATTTGATCACTTCAGTTGTGTACTAGACATTAAATGTGTGAATGGAGGAATTTCTTATATGTGTGGCAATGGATTAGAGCTTAAATTAATGAAAATAACGGATGAGAGCAGAAGAAGCAGAAGCTGCCTGTATGGTTAAGAGTGTGAAGGGATGATTTGAACTGAACATTTATTTTTGTTTCACTGTACTCCTTTAAAATAATTACATGGAATTTGTATGATGGTGATGGCTGCTTGATATGTTAGTTCAGTATATATCTGTTCATTGGCAATGAAGATAAAATAAACATCCTTTAGTTGAGTAACAATTATACATGGTTGGTTGATTAATATGAAGGCATGGGGGCTTATTTTTTTTATAATAATTAGTTTTGGTTGTAGTAACCTTTTTGAATTTTTATGGAAAATGTTTATTGACTTATTTATTTAGTATATGTTCACTTTCTATTTTCACTCATCATTTCTTATTTGAGCTTTCTTCTTCATGTTGATGTTAGTATTATTCTGAATTTTATGAATGGTGTATGCTTTGAAGATCATGGACAAAAAGTTCATCACCAAGGAAAATAAAACAGCTTATGTAAAGCTGGAACGTATAGTTCTTGATCAACTGGACCATCCCGGTGAATGTTATTTCAATTTCTATATTTGTTTCCTATTTTTCTGACAAAAATAATAATAAATATGTGTACTTCTTTATCTATGATCAGTTTTATATATGATCATAATTCTCCTGTGACCACTTTTGAAGCTTTTTAAAATTCATTGCAAAACGTTGCCAACTCTATCCCCTATTTATAATTTTGAATGTCGGAATATTGTCAATCATCTGATTATCTTTTTGTTCAGAAAGGTTGTTTATCAGAGGATGAAGCTCGATTCTATGCTGCAGAAGTTGTAGACGCTCTTGAATACATACACAACATGGGATTGATACATAGAGATATTAAGGTATTTTCACGACATATATGTTCTGTTACATCAACACTTGTAATACGCTAATGTTGGTTGTTACATGGCAGCCAGAGAACTTGCCTCTTACTACGGATGGGTATATTAAGAGTGCTGACTTTGGCAGTGTAAAACCCATGCGGGATAGCCAAATTATGGTCCTTCCTAATGCGTCCTCTGGTAAAATCACGATTATATCACGTTGAACCCTCCCTCCCTCGCTATGTTTATGACTAACATTGTTCTCTCCAGATGACAAACCGTGCACGTTCGTGGGTACAGCTGCATATGTTCCTCCTGAAGTCCTAAACTCTTCTTCAGCTACTTTCGGGTAAGAGACCTTGAATCTCTTAATGAGTTTGCCCAACAGTCTTGGTTAAAATTGTCGAACTTGAAAAAGAACCTCAATCTTGCTACAACTAATTTTAGATTTTTTTTAATTGTTTTTCTTCCCCTTTTTTTCTTGATTTTGTTTATGGGATAACTAGTTTGTTCCTTTGAACATATTCAAACAGAAATGACCTCTGGGCTCTTGGCTAGGTCTGTAAATAAACTGAACGTTCAGCGAACCCTTCATGAACCGTGCGGCGGGAAGTTCGTTTATGTTCGTTTATTTTCGTTTATTTATTAAATGAACGAACATGAACAAGATTTTGCATTCGTTTAATTAAATGAACGAACACGAACAAAGGGCTCGTTCGTTCATTTACGTTCGTGAACGATCGATTATATGTTCGTTCATTTATGTTCGAACAAAGGGCAAGTTGAATATGTTACGAAGATTACTGAAGTTGTTTGGATTTCAAGAAGATTGTTTTGTTGAACAAAATAACTTTAAGACTTTATTATGTTCATATAGCTTATTTATGATTTATGTATGTTTTAGTCGTATTCGAACAAATTAACTCTAAAGTTGCAGGTTATATTAATGAATTTTAAATTGTTATTCTTGTTGTTTACTTTTTTTTACATTCATTTGTTGTGTTCGAATAAGTTTGTTTTTTGTGTTTGTGTTGTTCGTTTATGTTCATTTATTGTGTTCGTTTATGTTCATTCGTTTGTGTTCGTTTACGTTCGTTTATCATTTAAATAAACGAACATGAACAAACTATATTCCTTAATAAACGAACATGAACAGAAGAATTTGTTTATGTTCGTTTATTTATGATTATGTTTTTGTTTAACTTCTACCTGAAATTTTATAATTGTTTTAGTTATTTTAATGAATGGTAATATTGGAGTCGTGCACGCCCAATGTCATTACTTTTTCCCCTTTTAGCTTCGGTTTATCCTATGTTGTGTGTGATGTTAACTTCTGGATCAAAGGTTGTAGCCTCAGACTTGTAATGCAACCATACGGTGCAGGACCTAGATCCCAGTAAAAGACCGGGTGCCAATGGTTATGCCACACTCAAGATGCATCCTTTCTTTCGGGGAGTTGATTGGAGTAGTTTAAGAGCACAAACCCCTCCGAAGCTTGCTTTAGAGGCAGAGGTATGATGGCAACATGTGTTTTCAATCATTTTTTATGACGGAATCCAACTTTTTCTTTGCATATTGTCTCTTTCGGAGTTTAAAATTCTATTATCATATGTTAAAAATTTCAGGCTCAATCAAGTGAGGGTGACGATTATAATGATTCATCATGGAATCCTACGCACATTGGAGATGGTTTGGCCCAAAAGAACGATGGAATCGTCAGAGCCTCATCATCAGCTGAACCATCTGGCCATATAACTAGACTGGCCTCAATTGATTCCTTCGACTCAAAGTGGTATTTGCCAATGTCTTTTTATTTTCTCTGCACACGTTCTTTGATTTTGTTGAAAAAGAAAATATTCGAAGGAAAAAGTCCACATATCAATATGCGCTGTTTTGTCAGTGCAACCATTAAATTAGATTCGTTTTCTATCCTTACCCAACGGATCCTTAACCAAACGTTTGCTGGTTCTTTACCGTATGCTGATTTAAGCAGGCAACAATTTTTGGATCCGGGAGAATCGGTTCTTATGATCTCAATGGTGAAGAAACTACAGAAATTATCCTGCAAGAAAGTGCAGCTTATCCTCGCCAACAAGCCAAAGTTGATCTATGTTGATCCTTCAAAACTGGTTGTGAAGGGGAACATTATTTGGTCCAATAATCCTAATGAACTCAGCGTCCAGGTCACTAGTCCATCGCACTTCAAGATTTGCACGGCAAGTATATGAGCATGTCCTGGTGGGATATGAATGAATTCATCGAACTTATTAATGGAATGATCGATGGTACCGGGAATCTGGAGTTTTCGTGCACTCTGGTGCTTTTTATTCCATTTTTCTCATATTTAGATAGTCACCGATCTTCATTGTTCCACTTTCTGATCTATATTTGTGGTGCTTCAGCCAAAAAAGGTGTTGTCATTTGATGATTCAAAACAAAGAGCGTGGCAGTGGGAAAAAAGCTATCGAAGGGCTTCAAAACCAGTGAAGGGAGTTTTATCGATTCGTTGCACTTTTTTCAACGTTACAGAGGAACTTGGGAGCTATTAAACAACTCAACATCCCAAAGCTATTTATTCTCGGATTGAGCCGTGTCGTGTGTTGCCGGCTGCTGCTGATTCGTTGTAGCTTTCATTAGAAATGTCGTGTAATGGATGTTTTCTTACCTGTTTCAAGCACATACGATCTGAAACACAGTTTTAAGTGAAAAACAAAAAAGAAGAAAAGGATGAAGGGGAAGAGGTTTTGTTGTCAATTATATTGGAAGGATGTTATCAGCCATTCTTTTCTGTGATACTGATTTTTGTTTCGGTACTTTGAGAATGGAGGAGAGTTGATGCATATTATTGACAAGGCTAGGCAGCTGCAATTACCCTCTATGGATGGAATGAGTATTTCCGATGGAGCAATGACACTACTTGATATAGCTTAACAATACATGAAAAGAGATGCAATTGACAAGAATAATCATTTATTGAAGTCGAATATGAGCTTGAAGCCACAAATTACGAGTTCAGCTCGACTCGACTCAATTACACCCATTGAATTCGACCAAGACAGGAATCCGTATGCATCGATTATTCAATAACGTGGCCATATTTGGAATAGTCTAAAAACTGTACACAAACAAATCTTCGTTCAAGAAAAAAATCAAGTAAATAGCTAATAAAAATATACCTCATCAACAAAGTGACCAAGAAATGAACGGCCATTAGCTGCATTGCCTCTCGAATCTACACTTTCTTGCTTCTGTCCCTCAATGGTATCTAAAACTAGATCGATAACAATCGAATCGACTCTATGTTGTCTGTACAACGTATCCCGAAACCCGTCCAAAAATCTAGGGTCAGTTTGTCTTTGTTTCACCATCTCCAGACCTGCTTCTAGAAGACAAGATTCCAGTTTCTTGAACCAAATCTGATTATCAAGGCAAAAACGGGTTACTTTTTGCTCACCTACATATCCAAAATTTCATCTGACTGAAAATAGTGGTCGTAAATAGAAAGCCGTTCAAATGCATCGAAGTTTGCCTTCAGTCCGACAAACTGGCTACCAAGCTGAGCACAGGCAGCATCCGGCCACTGGCAGCCCCTGCCTTGAGCACGCAAAGGGCACAAAGTTTCACAGACTCGACCAAGTGGACTGCTACGAGCAACATCATCTGTTACAACTGTAATCGAAACCGATAAATCTGATTTGTCATCGCGTCCCGTCGTACCTTCAGATTCTCTTCTAGGAAGAGAGAATCTTTGCGAAGTTTCTGTTGGACTGTTTTCGCGGCCATCAACGGTACAATCAATGCTATTTGTAAAATTAACCCTGCACCCCAATGACTCAACGACTCTCTGTATAGCAGCACTTTCCTTGCTGGCTCTCTTTGCCAAGTTCATCGCTGAGCTGCTGACCAGTTTCTCGTTTTGTAGATCTGCATTCAATATTTCCATGGCCGCCAAGTATTCTTTAGCTTTCATCTCAGCCACTTCTTTAGCCTGTTAGCATCACAACACCCAATTACTTATATTTCGGAAAACTCTCAGCCTATCCCTAGCACCATGTATTTGTAGTTAACCAGAGGGAAGGATTAGTGACCAAAACTGTAAGATTGAATACCTTTTGCAGTTCGGAAAACTTCATAGCCATGTTCCGGCATTCGGCCTCGAGCTCACTGGCTTGCGATTCAAAAGGACATGCCCAACGAAGATGAAATTGGGGCCAAACCATTGGGGCTAAAGCAGCTGCTGGAGGTAAAAGTGGGCCATTGTGTTTCAGTGGATCATAAAAGAGGTTATAATGGGTGTGGGACCTTCCCTCCGAAGAACGCAGATAAGCCAAATAGGCCCACATGCATCCACAAGCTTCATCCACACCACACATTTGTCTCTCCTTCTCACTGAAATTTTAAATTAAAATAATTACAAAGAACCATAAGCTTATGCAGAAGATGGCAACGTTGATTCTGGAATAAATATGGCCATAGGGGTTACACAAAAATATTCAACTATTTTCCTATATAAGTGTCAAAATTAAGAAAAGAAGGCAGTATAAATTTAGATTAAGAATAGAGGCGCCGACGACTAGTTTTTCTGAACATCATGTGGAATGAATCAAATGTAATCTGGTTGATATTATCTCCGTCTCAGGGAATACTTGGTTGAGTCAATACAGATGGAAAGAAAATAAAATTTAAGATGAATTTCAGTTCCTGAAAACAAGTTGACAGAGGATTCTATATTATTTGGATTACATTTACATCTATATGCAGATCCTGGGGATTACTCGAATTTCATCACACGGCCAAACACATAGAATCACCCCGACTAAAAAGAACTCATTTTCGAAATGATGCATTTCTCAAATTACCTGTTACACAAGAAATTTCCGAAACGGCAAGAAAGCACACAATCCAAGAAATCGACCAGGAAAGTCTGAACTACCACAAAGTAAGAATGTTAGCTATGGAGAAGACAAAGAAAATAACAAAAGAAACAGCCATGTCAACCTCATAAAAGAATTACAAAGTGAAAAGGAAGATATGCATGTCCTGTGTTAAAGAAAGATACATACTGAGGAGAACTCAAAAGCAAATGGGTAAATCCTTAACAACTGTGAAACGCAATCAACCCACTGCAAAAGACCAGATGAGATTTCATCAGCAAAACACGTCTTTTTTAAAGCATCAGCCTTTCAATGATGATTTCACCCTTTACCCCCCTGAGGGTGAACAAAAGGGCATCTTTAAAACAAATGAACTTTAGTGTATATAAAAACCTCATGAGGATCATAATATAATATTAGCAGTCCATTAAATTTAACAAAATTGCAAATAAATGTTACTTTATTGATAGAATAACCATATGTCAGCAAGTGTACCTGCAAGAATATGGGAGAATAATTGTTCTGTGCATGAGACGAATTGGATGCTTGAGGTGAGAATGATCCTGAAGCTTGGCGTAAGGGTGATGTTGAAAAACTTCCTGTAGAAGCATGTCTGGTTAATTCAAATGAAGATCCAGAGATGCTTGGCATTCCAACACGATCTGAAAATGGATGCCCAAAAGCTAGCCAATCTTTTTCAACAAGTGCCTGCATCAAGATAAAATAGTCCAGAACTTGAGAGGAAACTTGGTCTGTGGTTATACCATGTTCATTGCACATTGAAAAACTAGCAGAATTTCATGTGGATGTGACCAAGTGAAATTAAACAGCAAAAGCACTTTTTTTTTGTTTGGGGGGGGGGATTTAAGGGTACATGATATTAGTATTATTGTTACGCAAATCCATGTTAGAAAGGCCCTTAATTGGGTTATTTAATATAGGCTTAGGTTATGCTTTTATTTATTTCCATAGGTTTATTGATTATTATTATTTATTTCGGTTGATTTATTTTCAATTTAAGAATATCTTTCCTTTTATGTAATGAAGGACGCCTGAAATAAGGAAACCTTAAGTCTGAATTTTATCAAAAACCCTAAAAAGATCTGGGTCTTCTTTTAACAAGTCCTAAGGTTTCAGTCTCCCTTTGATGAGCAAAGAGTCTTCAGTCTCCCTCCGACGAGCTGAAACATTAATCTGACACTCGAGATCGCCAGATACATAACAGTTATTGATCTCGAAAGTAATGACAAACATGTGAAGTATCGCACACAGAAAGGTACAAGGAAAGCCTTGTACATAATGTGCAGCTTGGGTTCAAGAAATAGAGAATGCAAAAACAAGGTCAGTGAATGGTCGTTGACAATATATTTGTTCAGAAAATACCTGAAAACCAGTGAATGTGCGGTAATATGGATCAAGCATTAGGTTTGCAAGTGAAACCAGCTGACTTGTTCTATCCCATCCATCACTGCACAATAAAAATAGCCAAGATAGAAGTAAGAAACATAGAGGATTAAAAAAAGTAGAAACTATTTGTATTGTTAATATAAAAAAAGAAGGTAAACAAGAAATGTAATGTCATTCACATAATTTACAGGTAGCCTCATCGTAAACGTTTTTGACTGTGGACTGATAATGAGAGAAGGTCAACAACTTTTTTCCCTTTATTTTTTTTCTAAGATAAATTTTGTCAAAGCTGCATATCATAATCAAATTTAGCCTTTGAGATTTCAACTGGGATTAGGATCACATAACTGCCTTTTTGCATGTTTAGTTTCTTTTCTCATTTTAACAATATATTAGGTTTCACTTCAGCCAACTCAGTACCAGTTAATCAAATTCATGTGAATAGCCTCAATTAAACATAATTTTTTTTGATAGGAAAGGTAGGCCTCTTTAAAAACCCCCTTCATGATTAACGGATCACAAGGTGCTCCTTAATCAGCGGAAGGAGGAAAAGAGTGCCTCATTAATTCATTGATAACCACACGTTACAAAGACTTAAAACAACCATACAATCTATAATTCAAATAAGCAACCCAAAACCTAATAGAAACCCAACTAAAAACCCAGAGATCTATCCAATACCAGCCTTAGCTAAACTGTCAGCCTCAACATTGGCAGACCTAGCAACCCATCTAATACTACTATTCAGTCCATTAACCTTGCCAACAATAGCTGTCACAATGTCTAAGTAAACATAGGGACAACGGTCGATGTTCTTGACCCAATCCACTGCTAATTTACTGTCTGATTCAACAATTAACCTTTCCTTAAACCGCTGCTGGAACGAGTCAAAGAAAGATAACCCTTTCATAATTGCCTTGAGTTCTAACAAAACAGGAGGACCTGGACCAGCAGCCTCTTGAAAAGAGCCCACCACCGAACCATCATGATCTCTAAGAATGCCCCCAACACCACTCTTCCTCCAATCTTCAGTCACAGCCGCATCCACATTCATCTTAATAAACCCTTCTGGAGGTTTAGACCAGGACACAGTTTTGATAATAGGAGAGCTTAATAAGGAGCAGCAATCCCCAAGTGAAGGGTCACAAATAAGAGAGTCCTTAGGGATAGATACAGCCTTGTAGTAAGCTAAGAACCAAGCCGCCAGTCTACACCTTGCCAAAAAGAATAAATCAATCTGATCTACCTTTCCCCCCTCGAACACAATTGCATTCCTACCCTTCCACATTGTCCATAAAACCACCCCCGGAATGAAGGACCAAATTTTCGAATTAGGTACCAATTCATCCCAAGCGACCATAAAGCTGTGAGCATTGTCTTGAAAAACTGAGGAAACTCCCCAGAAAAACAAAATTTATTCCATAAGGACCACACCACCGAGCAAGAAAAGAATAAATGTGCTGAGGTTTCATCCGCCTCTCCGCAAAAGGGGCAAGCAACATCCACAATAGTTGAAACTCCTATCCTCTTTAGCTCAACTTTAACTGGCAATCTTTGGTGCACGACCTGCCACAAGAAAACCTCCACTCTAGGAGGCACCGTTCCCCTCCAAACATACTTCTTCCAAAAGGGGTCTGTTATACCAACAGGCCTGCATGACTTAACACTCGAACTAACAGTATAGACACCTTCCCCATTACCAAACCAGACCAACCCATCCGATAACTCCTGAGAAAGAGGTATATTGTGGATTAGGGTCATTAAGTCAGAGTACTGAACCAATTCCCATTCACTCAAATTCCTTCTCAAGTTAACATGCCAAGACCAAACTGAAGATCGAAATTCCCCAAACTCATAAAGCTTCCCATTCTTATTATAGACAGCACATACAACCTCGGAAAATCACTTTAAGTGGGGAGTCATGTGCCCACCTATCCCACCAAAATCTAATGCTCCCTCCATCACCCACTCTGACTTTAAAGTTGCTACAAAACTTTTCTCCAAACTGATCATTTTTGAAGTGGTTGAGGACCACCGATTTCCAAATCCAAGAAGCATGTGTAGGAAGTTTCTCGTTAAACAGCAGTAAACTGGGATCCAAGTTATATTTACAACAAATAACCTTCTTCCACACTGAGTCTTTATCGTTAGCAAACCTCCAAGACCATCTCCCTAAGAGAGCTCTATTCATCAGACTTATATTCATAGCACCAAGACCTCCAACACTTTTATCGGAGCAAACTTTTGTCCAATTGACCCAATGGATTTTCCTAGCCTCCACTCCTCCTCCCCATAAGAACCTGGCCATGATGGAATTCAGCTTAACACTCACCGAAGCAGGCATCTTGAAAAGGGACATGAAATAGATAGGAAGGGAACCCAAAACTGCCTTCAGTAATACCAACCTCCCTGCCATTGATAGAGTCTTCGCCTTCCATCCGGCTAGCTTTGAATGAAACTTTTGAACTACCGGATCCCACAACATCATAGAGTTTCTCTTAGCACCAAGAGGCAGCCCTAAATATTCTGCAGGAAAATGTCCTACAGGACAACCAATAGCATTAGCCCACTGAAGAAGCTCTTCCTCATTAATATTAATCCCAAATAATCTGCTCTTAGACAGATTAAGTTCCAAACCAGTCATAATTTCGAACACCCGAAGGATCCTCTTAACATTAACAATCTGGGTCTTCGAAGCACTACAGAAAATGATTAGGTCATCTGCAAATTGCAGATGAGATAAGTTGACTGAGGTCTCGTCTTTACCAACCACCAGACCACTGAAAAGGCCCGAAGATACTGCTTTACGAAGCAGCAGGTTAAGCAGTTCTCCAACAAGGTTAAACAACAGAGGGGACAGGGAACAACCCTGCCGGAGGCCTCTAGCCATAGGAAATTCATCAGTAGGGACCCCATTAACTAAAACTGACACCGAAGCAGTTGACACACACATCCGGATCCAACTACACCATTTAGAACCGAACCCCATCTTCGCCATAACTTTAAATAAAATGTCCCAATCTACCGAATCATAAGCCTTTTAAAGTCTACCTTAAATACACAACCCTTCAACCCTCGCTTCCTCCATAAATCAATTCCTTCATTAGCAATAAAAGAGCAATCCAAAATTTGTCTCCCAGGAATGAAAGCAAATTGAGACTCACTGATTATATCATTGATGCAACATCTTAATCTTCTCGCGAGGCACTTAGATAGGATCTTATACATCCCACCTACAAGGGAGATAGGTCTGAAATCATCTAAACTCCCAACATTAGAACCTTTCGGAATGAGAGTTAAGAAGGAATGGTTAATACCATGCTCCCATTCCTACCCAAATAGAAGTTGTGGAAGAATTTCAATATATCACCTTTCAAGCTAAGCCAGAAGGTCTTAAAGAAACCCATGTTCAACCCATCTGGTCCAGGGGCTTTATTACTATCACAAGAATTAATGGTCCCCCAAATCTCATCTTCCGTAAAGTCCTTCTCTAGCAATAGGTTCTGTTGCAGGGAAATATTGCGAACTCTAAGTTAATACCCTCCACTTCCATTGTTGAGCAACAATTAAACGCTTTAAAGAAATGCTCCCTGACCCTAGACTTGATAAGACCTGGATCTTTGGTGATAACACCATCAACATTTAAAGCATACATAGAGTTCAACCTCCTCCTAATGGAAGCGCAAGTGTGAAAAAACTTTGAATTACGGTCACCCCCTTTGACCCACTTCTCTCTAGACTTTTGTTCCCAAATCTGCTCTTCGATTCTAAGAAGTCTCCAAATTTCATTTCTCAAAAACCTCAACTCTGTCGAAATGACAACATCATTGGAAGGAGGGTGATGTTGCATCCCCTTTTCATCTGATGATTTTGTCCTCTAACATAGAGATTTCCTTCCGAGGAAATTGATTTCTATCTCCAGACCAGCACTTAATGGCAGACTTTGTATTCCTAAGCATACTCAAAATTCCAGCTCTTGAATTTCTTCTTTGAACAGCTTAACAGACTCAACAACCATCTTCTCAAAACCATCCTCAGACAGAAGATAATTGAACAGCCTAAATGGTCTCTTACCCCAATTATCTGCCCCCTCCCAGGAAAATTGCATTATGATCGGAGATAGATTTAGGCAAAAGAAACTGGTTGATACCGGAAAATTCTGCTGAGAAATTACAGTTCACCAGAAACCTATCTAGTCTTACAACCGTCGGCAAATCCCGATAACTGCTCCATGTGAAATTCCCCCCAACAAGAGGCAGATCAATAAGTCCCGTTTGCTGAATAAAATGATTAAAAATTTCCAGTGAATTCCTGTTATGACCTCTGCCTAACTTCTCCTCTTCATTCAAATAGGCATTGAAATCCCCTCCCACACACAAAGGAATACTGAACCCGTTTAAAAACAGTCCCAGTTCATCAAAAAAAGCAGCCTTCTCTTCCTCCACAGACGGGCCATAAACGTTGATGAAGCCACACCTAAGGTGATTAGACTTGATCTTTCCAAAAAACAGCAATAAACCTCTATGAATAAACTGATCGTCAATCTCAAAAAAATTATCATCCCAACAACTTAACATACCTCCAGATGAACCTATTGCTGGAGACTCAACGAACCCCTGCAACCCATTCAAACCACTCCTCCTTAAAAAAGACATTGGTAATTTTTCAAGTTTTGTTTCTTGAAGAAAAAGAAACGACGGTTTCTTCTCATAAACAAGTTTTTGCACAACTCTATGTTTCTCTTTTTACCCAGACCCCTAACGTTCCAAGACAAGATACTTAGCTTAGTCATGATACTCAAACAAAAAACCCAGAACTCCCACATACAAATCTCAAGGTCAAATAGCCCCACACAACCCTTTCTCCAATTCAACAATCTTTTGTATAAAAGCTTCCTTCCCCTCCTTGAAAGATATCCCCAGCATCTTACTAATTTCCCATGTAGCAATTGCTTCCTCAACCAGCAAAGGAAAGGCTGATGAGGAAACAGTATCAACACTAGCATGATCAACAGCTTCCCTAAATAGAGACCTTTTAATTCTCCTGTATGGTCTGCTCACCAAGAACTGTCCAATTCCTTTATCGAAAAAACCAGCAGCCTCGGGAACATCAGAAAGACAACCTCTAGAACTTAAATCTCTTCCTGTCTCACCATTGAACACCCTCGTGACTTTCCTTACAATCCTGCACATTATTATAAGTTTTCACAACCTGATTCCAGATCTTTCTAGACTTCGACCTACTATAAGTTTTATTATGACTTCTGATGAATTTCCTTCCAACCGGAGCAGTCTTCATGGATAACGAACTTGCAGAGCAGGTTTGTGAACCATCTCTTAAACTTATCAGCTTTAAACCAACGGAGGCCCCTCCTCCAGCTTCAGCCCCTACTGGGTCCTTAACTGTATCTGATGAAAAGGGCTATGGCCCATAGAGTTTGGGCAGTATTCTGCTCCAGACCAGCCAACTGAAGCCCTCCAAGGCCTGAGTTAGGCCCACTCTCCCGGTCAACATTATCAAGCTTAAAAAGATCCCCCCCATACTTTTCCCGCTTTTCTTACTTTCAAAAAGATCTTCCGACTTTCATTGGGAGAGAAGTCAACTCTCTCGGAATCTGTGACAATACCACGTTGTGAGTCTGCAACCCACTCTAGCACCCTATTATGGATTTCTGACATTTCCTGACATCCCACGTGACCTCCATGCTGTGCCTGCCCATCCTCTGTGCTCCCTCCGGAGGAGTTCTCCACCGAAGGATCCTCTGGAACAACCTCTTCAGCCAGATCTGAGAAATCAGGAAAGAAATCATCCCCCCCATCCACCTTAATTTTTATCAGAAATTTCCTTCCATTCGTAATAACTGAAGTATGATCAGGGATGTCAAAAGGGCTGACTACCCTAAGAAGCATCTGTGCAACTCTGCAGTCCACTCTCTGAGCAGTTTCATCTTTAATCTTCACTAACTTGCCCCACCTGGATACCACCCTAGTGAAGAACGGAACCGACCAGCAATTTAAAGGAACTCCTATCATGGATATCGTACAAAAAGCTCGGGGAATACTTTCCTCATCCAATACCGGCTCCAACCTTTCAAACCAGAAGGACAAAGCTTCCCATTTCCCTTCCATTGCTAACTTCTTCTCTTCCACCGATTGGAACACAACCAGGCACGCATTCTTAGAAAAACCCCACCTAACAATCTTTACGTTGATGCCCTCGTTCCTTAACGCTTTCTGCACAACATGAAGATCAAAAATATCTTTGAAGATACCAGTAAGAGACGATCTAAGCCAGACCCTATCCTCCACTGGGATGGCCACATCCTCAGAATTATTCAGCTCCTTCGAATTAAAATGAATACCCTCTTGCACACCCTCTGACTCTTTATACACCCCCACCACCGCCTCCTTGTAGGACCTCCCATCATGAAACTTATCCAGCATCTCCATCCTCCTCACCCTGTCAGCTTGCGGAGGCAATCTTCTACCCATTCCCCCACTGATACCAGCACTATTAACTCCATCAACCCTCCCATCTTTCTGTCTCTTCGACCCAGATATTTTCTCATATTTGGCTACAGCCACTAAAATCCTCCTCCCATCAATCAGTACGTTGTTCATCTTATCCACTGCATTACACAGATCCTCCTTACTTGCAAAATGGACGAAAGCAAACGTGCTTACCTTATACTTCGGTCTATTATTGATAAACGGAATGAACACCTTAATAACCTTACCAAAATGACTAAAACGAGCCCATAAATCACTACGACTCACTCTCCTGCTAAGATTATCAACGAACGCTGACCAAATAATTCCACCATGAACCTCTCTAAGGTTACCACCAGGACCCAAACTTTTGACGGACTCTCTCTCTCTCTCACTAGTTCTCTCCATTCTCTCCGAGTGGGACACTTGTTAATGAGGCCCTTCAATTAAACATAATTGAAAAGTTAAAAGGGGAGAAGTCACTAGAAAGAGGATGGACTTGGTTTATTCTCAAATAAACTTTGAAGATAAATTATGAAAATGCAACAAAGAATTACTGTGATCAATAAAAGAAGCATGAAATTAAAAGAATTCTGACCTGCAATGTACAAGCACAGCTGCAGATTCTAAAGCAACACGTGCAGCAATCCAAGCAGAACCAGCCAAGACACTTTGAACATGTATTAACCAACCACTGTCACCGAGGGTTGATACTGAAGCAGACATACTGCTGAGATTTCCCCCACCCCAAGTCCAACCACCATGTCTCTATCAATTAAAATTGTCATAAATTAGATGTTGACCACAATACTAACACTTCAATATAGTAAGGAAGACTTATAGAACATCAAATGAAATTCTTGTCTATATACATCCTTTATCAATACCAACTTCAGAGACCTAAAAGGCTGAATGACCAGTAACCACTGGGAACAGCCTACAATAATAAATTCATATTCAAAATAGGGAAATACCATATGATAAATCTCTGAATAGATCCTTTCCTAACAAGAGTAATCAGGTTTAGAATGTACCCTCAGAATTTATATAAAGAAGTTACCAGCTAGCTTCTTATCCACAAAATTAATTTGCTAGCATATATAATTCCTCTAGCAAGGCTTTTACAAATTTTTGCCAACTTAATGCACCAAATACTGTAGATTGTAGATATGACGTGTATTAGTAATTGTAACCGATTAGTTAGTTTAGGAAAAGACTTATTCATCTAAAGGATAAGTCCCTAGTTCATCTCTAACTTAAATTTTAAATAGAGTTTTACTTAGGTTAGAATTCTTGTACAAGAGGTCTTATAAAAAGGACAAGACTCTCTTTTCTGCAAGTGTTATGTAATAGAAAACACAGGAATTCTATTTCTCTCAAACTTACAAATACATATCATGATCTCTCTAGATGACTTCGAGTAGGAAAAGGTTTTGCCTTTAACAATAGTAATTGATTAAGATATTCATAGGACCATGACTGTAGGACTAACCAAGAATGAAGACATTCCATCTGATGACGCAGCACCATGAGTATCTAAATATTCTCGAAACCGAGCAAAACTTTCTCTCATTGCGTGTATGTTGTCTATCCCAAAGAAAACTATCTGAAATGGAGAATAAAAGAAACTGAGGTAAGAAAAAAACTATAGTTCCTAATTTCATGAGCCACAACATAACTTCCAAGTTCAAACCTTAGACAGACCTCAGATTGAAAATAATTTGAAGATGACTCCGAGCCCCCTCCCATTGCTCCATTCGCCAATGCATTTTTCCTTGGTCTCGCATCAGCAATATATAGCTTCCTGAATTGGAAAAATGAATAATTTGAAAATAAAGGAAAACTGTGCTCTCTATAGGAATATTACTTTCTTCCCATTGGACAACAGCAAAGTATAAACATGTCATTAAAAGTTTTTTTTTTTTTTGTTGATAGAAATAGAGTAGGCCTCATTAAAAAACCCCTTCATAACCTCCATGTTACAACAGTAACGTGAAGGACATTGGAAGGAGGAAAAGAGTGCCTAAGAATTTATTAATATAAGAATAATACAAAGCCAGATCCTACAAATTTGTCATTAAAAGTTTTAAAATTGTGTAAATAATTAAGGCATGTTCAAAACAAAAAATCAGGTTCATTCAAGGAGTTCTCTGTGAGCAAGCTCCCAAATCATGATGAAAATGAGATCATCATTTTAAATATGGTGGAAAGCAAAATACATGACCACGTTAATTTGAAATTGATACGCAACTCTTATGGGACAAATAAAAATTATCAAGTAGACATAATACTTATTAAAAAGAAAAAAAGGACCAATTAGATCATGTAGGAATGAACAAAGAGAAATACCTCCTTGAATCCTTTCCATCAACGAATCGAGCACAAAGTGCAGCAACCAACTTTTCATCTGCATTGCTATAGAAGAATAACAAAAAAGAATAATCAGATGCACCATATTCCGACCTTGATAGAAAAACCAAATAAAAAGTTTTTCATAAATATCATTTTTATCCAGGATCATTTTCTTATGAATTATTTTCACTGTAGTGCTTTTTTGTTAATTTGAGAACTTAGGAATACCTCCTCGTATTCATAAGACCAACTAAAGGTTGAGATGAACGTGCAAGAACTGCTCCAGTTCCTGTTATTCACAATTTCACATCACAGCCACAAAATAAGTACGGACAGATCTTATAGAATAGGCGCAGACACGCACACAGAATCATATATGTCACATACCAGGGTGACACCAAGAAATTGCAGGTACCCTAGACCTTGCACGAAAATTTGAAGCTTGGATAATTCCTTCATCACTAGCATCAGTAACCAGAGATAAAAATTAGTTCCTTAGCTCTAGAAAAAAAAATGGAAATAGCCTTATCAACGATTGCTGTAATTCAAAAGTGAAAATGGGGAAAGAACTCAATCTAATTTATTTTTCCTTCTTCTTCTTGCTATCTCAAAAGATCTCAGTATCTTACCTAATAGTTTTTGGAACAAGCAATGCAAACGGATAACTTTGGCACAGTGCATAGTTGAAATTTATATCACTTATTCTCCACAAATCATTAGACAATGCAAAGGAACCATCTTCAATCATACTCATTGATGCATGATGGTAACGGTTTCCAAGAAGGCGAAAGTACTCATTCAGTAACCGCACCTTTGGGTTTGGGTTACTAAATTTGGATGGTCCACAAGTAAAAGCGTAAAGATCCCAAATTCTTTCTGGCTTTGTACATCTCAACAATGCATCATATATTACACGTCTCTACATGGATAAAAAAAAAACAGCCAAGTTAATTTCTTCAAATAAATAAATAAAGTCTTTGGAGTTTGGGCTATGCTATCAAAGAACAGAATAGTTTTACTACTTTCTTTTCCAAATAAGTGACAGTGTAAATTGATAAAATTGGAAGTTAACACTTCCTTTACACTCATACAAGCGCTACTAGTATTTATTTTTCCAAGAAGTTAAAACAAAATTTTCCATTTCATAGGAGGATAAAGGTCCAAATCATGACTAGAAATTTTCACGGAGTCATTATCCTCACTACTTGACTCTGCATAATTATTTCCTTCGAATATATGAAAAAAACTTAATTGAGGGACTGCATTATCTCAACTCAAAAAGAGAAGATAAAAAAAAAACAAGAATTAAACTTATAAATGGCAGAAATAAACCTATACACAAAGGGGGATATATAGCATGATAAATTGCACCTAAAGCCTATCGTAATCCTAAAGTTGCCCTCAGCTTAGCATAAAAATGCACCATCTTTTCAGTTTTAAATTCTATGGAAGCATAGGATACACAGAATAAAATAGATCTTGTAGAGGGATACATGAATCTAGAATTGAGCTCGATGCTCAAGTGCAAAATTATATAAATAAAACAAAACGAAATCAGTTAAAATTAAAAGGAACCCAAATAATTGACAACAAAAACTTACCTGCTTTGTTCGAGGGCGAAAACAAAACACAATAATTCTCATATCTTTTCCTGCAAAACAAGGAGAAGTCATAAGGTCCAAAAGGACCACAACTATTTCCATATCAATTGAATCAGAAAGCAGTGCTTATAACCCAAAGCGAATAGAACTTGCTAGCATAAGAAATAAAACTGCATATATGATACTAAAAGACTGTTAAGTTACTTTCTAGAGTTCCATTGGAAAGGAACACTTAAGGGATCGTCTGAAAGAATGTTAAGGGTTCTACAATACCTATGTGGGAGTTTAGGTATGAACCAATTTCCAACAATCCTCTAAAACATCTATTCTTCAAAACATACTTGGGTTTTGGAAGTAATTTTTACAGGCAATTATTTTTCACCAAATCTGTTATAAAGTAACTCCGCATTGCCGTATAATGACGATAAATTCTAACCATACACCCCTTCAGCAGACAAATGTAAAGCCTAACTGTTCTCTCTCTCTCTCTCTCTCTCTCAAAGTCTCAATTCCTCGAGCCCCTACCATTTCTCATAGTACCATGTCCCTTCAAAGTTTCAAACATATTCTAACAGGGAAAAGGAATGATTTCTAACATGCATTTGGAAAATTCTATTCTCGACAACCTTGCACATTATCTTTACTATTTTGAGCTTTTACTTTTATCTGCAAGTCTACCCACCTGAGATGTATGCGAATGAAAATGTTTTTTTTGATAATAATTGGAGGCCTCATTAAAAACCCCCTTCATAATTACTATACCAAAAGGTATTCCAATAAAAAGCGAATGAAAATATTCAGTAGCTGTTAATTACATAAATACCACTACTTAACCTGCTACCAACTCTACTTATCCCAAATTCCCAGTGAATAAGCACGCTCATCCGGAGGCAAAAAAAATAAAAGTTTGTCTTTTAAACAATTTGGTATTAAGAGAGATTCATAGCATACCAATGATCTGGAGAAGACGGCGTGATGAAGACTTGTTAGTTTGGCGTGAATTAGATTGAACTTTTGCTACCTATACATATTCCAGCGAACAAAGAAAATAAAAAAAAAATATCCAATAGAAAAAATTTAGAATATCAAACACAGATACAGCATAAGTGCATATCAACCCTGTAACAAAAAGTAATATACATGAAGAATTAAGAGCTAAAAGACTTTCTACGCTATTGAACATTCTTTTCCTTTTTCCTGTATGGATAGCTATTGGATGGCTAAGAATCTTATGGAAATAGGAAAGAGGCCTTTCAGTTTGAGACATATCAAGTATCACGAGCCAATTGGTTAAATGAGCTCACATAACAGAATGCAGTTGACAACACAATCACCATTAGATTGCATAGGAACCAAATACAGCATCCAAAGAGAACTCGAGAATGACTTTCAGCCTAATACTTTTGTAAGCCTTGTGAAATTCTGAAAAACACTCAATTGAACTTACTGCTCAGCTATCTTATAAATGAACAAAGATTTCACCATTTTTTCCTTCCAATACTAATACAAAATCTCACATAAGAATCATTCCCAAAAACTTCATTTATACTGCTCGTTACAGGCTGGGATCAACATTAAGTATTGAGATTTGCGAAATATATTTAAATAATCTCTCCACCTGATGCAAGGCTCATATCTGGAAGTTTAATAGCCAACAATAACTTACCATTTTGTTGAACTTCTCAATTGTTGCCAGTGGAATGGTACCTAGCGGAACAATATTTCTGGTCCCGTCACTCTTTGGGGAAAGGGAGAAAAATGATCAATTACATTGAACTTGTAACAAGAATGAATAAATGCATGTACTACTAAAGCATTCATAAAACAGAGATTTGTGAATAGGGATGTCATAGAAGTTCTGTAAAATGCAATAGAAATAATGAAGTCCTGAAACATGCTATTTCCTGTACATTTTCTCTCATCATCATTAACTCATTTGATCCATATTAATTCTAGTCTCTTCTCATAGAAATGACTTCTCTTTTCTTTCCCAATGCATTTTGTCTCTTCCACCTATTATGTCATCTCTGTTAAAAAGTCTCCGTCTTCTCAACATAAACGCCCATCATTCAGAATCACTTTATATCAAGACAAAAGCATGTCATAGAAAGATAATAAAGCATACTAGATTATGAGATTTGCTATTTTCATACCGATACTAACGTAATCATACAGTAAGAAAAACAAATAATTTCCAAAGTTAAGGGTGAATCGGTGATCTTGATTTAAAACAAACTAAAGCAAAGTTCTTAGACATGCATAAAATCTGGGTATTTCACCTACTTGCTTAAAAAAACTGTAGGTTTAATGTCATTATTTCAAGTAACCCAGCAAGTTTACGTCATAGAACAGATTTTCTACAATCCTATATGAAAATGTTATCCATTTTAAGTTCAAAATAACTGAAAACGTGTCTGTGCAGCTACCCTGTAAGATTTTACTCACGCAACATGCTAACATGATGATGGCATATGTTTGGCCAAATAAAATAATGCAAGACGGTAACAGTTTACCAGACAGTAAAAGTTACAAGGCAAACGACTCACAAGAAAGAGAAGACGAAAGTTTGTAACAAACAAGGTTCCAGCCTCATCAGTATTAACAAGTACAACGCCATGACCCTGAAAAAAGAAGTAAATTCCAAAATGCCATTACGTTTCGCCATGCTTTTCATAACATTAAGAAAACGAAGATTTAAGATTCTATAACTGCTTTCCTGCTTTAATATTGAATTAGCGATCATTGAATTTCTCGTTTCAGTCAAAACAATAATTCATGATCTAAATTTACAAAATGCCTACACCATTTATTCCAATGGCGCTCCCATTACTTGAGGAATTGAAAAGAAAAAGGAGAAAAAAGTATGAATTACCTCCACTTCAACTCGCTCAGCTTCAAGCAAAAACTCGAGATTGACATGCGAAACCGACCTCGTAACTGGCTGCAATTGAAGTTAATTATCTTTTAATTAAAAATAATAAAGCAATCACAAACAATAGAATCCGAAACATAAAATTAGAAGAAGAAAACCTCAATTTTGGTCCATTCCAGGGTGTCCCAGCTTCCAGCACCTTCCAACCTTTCGCAACCGACGGAAATGTCCCTGGCAAAGACCGATCGGGGTGGCCTCGATGCAGCCATGACCGTTGATTATTGAGTTCAATTTTCTTAAGCAGGAATTTCTTCTTCTTCCTTTTTTTTAAAAAAAAAAAATCAAAGGAATCTGATGTTTGGGGAGAGAAAGGGAAGGGAAGGAAAGAGACGTGCGGCAAAGGGAGGGCTATGGTCTCGGCTTTTCGGCATCGCCACATGAACCAATTGGGGGGTTCGTTGATGATCTCATTTCATCATTAAATTTCAATCCAACAAACCATACCATTTATGTAGGACAATTTTTACACACTCAATTCACCCATTATTTATTTTATAAAATAATTATATTATCTCTAAATTTATTTTCTATTTTTCATTATTTATTTTCAAAAAGTTTTACTTATTTATGTTGGTACACTACAAAATTAATCCCCAATTACAGAGTATTTTTTATTGTATCTACAACTATAAAAAATTAAATGAATGTTACAAATTATTCTTTCCTTTTTTTAAGAAAAATAACCGTTAATAAATTTGATATAATATAAATTTAATTCTCCTATTATAAGTTGGTTATTTTTCAGATTTAAAATTAAAGTAAAATATAGAATTTAATGATTAAATTTATTATCGTGCATGAACTAGAAAAATTATTATCGTGCTAATTTTATTAATTGTTATGTTATCACTTGTTAATCTTTTGACAAAAAAATTAATTTATAACTTTTGTTAATTTTAATCATCATTTTATAGTTTTTCATAGCCAGAAACAAAAAAAATACATAATCAAAAGAATATATATTTAATTTATCTTATTTTTATACAAGCTGATTTTAACAACTGGTAAACGGCTTAGATTAATAAAGAAAAATTAATCAACGGAACTTGATGTGTCAATTTTAAATTTTGTATAGTAAAATATTTATTTTTTATAATTACACATTTAATCAATTTAGACCTTATTTTAGGTAATTCAATAGATTAAAAAAATATTAATTTGATCCCAAAACTCTTCATTGTTTGGTTTATCATCAATTATTCATTGTTTCCTTACCTGTACAGCTCATTCACACGGGTACTTCTGCTGTGCGGCGCCTAAACAACGGCTAAAAAATGGCGTGATCGGTTAAAATTTAGACCGGTTATATTATATTATTTAACCAGAAATATTATCAAGCACAATAGCATATTAGGTAGCGCTTATATAATGTAATAGGTAGCGCTTATATAATAAAATAGGCATTTAACCGGAAATATTATCAAGTACAATAACATATTAGGTAGAGCTTATATAATGTAATAGGTAGCGCTTATATTGACATATTTTCCCATAAAACCGGTAAATTTCAGCCGGTTACATTGTAAATTGACATATTACATTATAATTATCGGTTTCGATGTTTTTGGGATCGATACAATTTTAAATGTATCGACACTTTATGTGTGGACCTGTTTGTGCTTTCATTTTGGAAAAAAAAGTATCGACACATATTTAAAGAGTGTCGATACATAATGTAGACATATTTGCTAATTAACCGGTATATTTTTACCGGTTACATTGTAACCTGTTAATAATTATCGGTTTCAATGTATTGAGATCGATACTTTTTATAAATGTATCGACAATTTATGTATACACCTCGTATGGACAAATGTATCGACACAAATTTAAAAAGTGTCGATACTTTTTGTTGACCTATTCTCTCATTAACCCGATATATTTCTACCAGTTACATTGTAAATGTATTGACACTTTATGTGTGCCTGTCGTTTGGCCATTCATTCTAGACAATAAGTATCGACATAAATTATAATAGTGTTGATACGTTATGTTGACCTGTTTTATAATTAATCGGTATATGTATACTAGTTACATTGTTAATTTACCTATTACATTATAATTATTTGTTTTGATGTTTTTGGGGTCGATACTTTTGGAAAATGTATCGACACATATGTTTACATATGTATCGAAACAAATCTTTGTGTTTACTAATTTTGTCATTAAAAAAGTATATTTTTACCACCTACATTGTAATTTTACCTATTACTTTAAAGTTATTGAATGTTATAGTTATTGTACATACTTGAATATGTCTTATAAATTTAATGTTGTACCAACCTTTCAACTAGCACTACCAATACCATATCCTATTGAAAGCACCACTGAAACATGTTGTTCAATGAAACTTTACTTACATCTCCATCAACTCCTATTGGGACCACTGAAATTGCACAACAAATTTTTTGCCATGGATAATACTGATGCAGACAATGTTAAGCCAACCGATGAATGCAATGAAGTACATAATGTTGATGAATCTGACATATTGATTAGTAAGCTCTTCTCTTCACGTGATAAAGCTTGGTACTTTTACAAGGGATTCGCACTGGAACATGGGTTTAGTACACGTCGGGGAACAACACGGCTTGACATGGAAGGGAATATGAAAATAAAAGAATTTTATTGTTCGAAAGAAGGGTTTCAAGAATCAAAAGTCAATACCGTTGATCGTCAACGTGCTCATACGCCAATCACAAGAACATGATGCAAGGTTAGAGTCATAGTTATAACAACAAATACAAACGATTAGTGGGTTATAAGTAAGTTTTATCAGAAACATAATCATGCATTGTACACACCTGCTATGACACCATTTATGCGTTCTAATAGAGCTGTAAGTAAGGCTGATATCGATGAGGTAATAGCATTGAAAGAGGTTGGTGTTGGCACGTCACAAGTAATGAACTATTTAACGCAGCAGGCAGGGGGCTATCATAATGTTGGATTTACACATAAAGACCTCTACAATGCACTTCAAAGAGGTAAAGCAAAGGAAATCGTCGATGGGGATGTGAATGCGCTTATTGCTTACTTTGATTATAAGAAACATGATGATCTCGGGTTTTTTGTGACATACTCGGTAGACGAATCAGGGGAGTTGTATAATCTTATTTGGTTGGATTCTACATCGAGATCAGATTACATATGATTCGGTGATGTAATTGCATTCGACACAATGTAAAAAGATAATTTGTATGGTCGACCAATTATGTCTATTGTCAGTGTCAATCATCATCATAACACAATTGTGTTTGCTATTGCCATAATCGCTGACGAGATGTCCCAATCTTTTGAGTGAGTGCTATATAATTTTTTAGAAGCCATTATGAACAAATCGCCTATTTCAGTTGTCACCGATGGGGATAGGGCAATGAAGAGGGCTATCAAATCTGTTATCCCTAATGTTAAGCACAAATTATGTTCTTGGCATCTTTCTCGCAATGCACAAGCTAACATTGGTGACCCAAAATTTACAGCAGCATTCTCAAAATGCATGGCTTCCTGGTGGACAACCAACGAATTTGATATTCAATTGCATTCAGTTGTTTCAGAATTCAACGTCGAAAAGCATCCATGGGTGATTGAGAAGGGAAATACTCAACACTTATGGGCACAAGCATATCTAACCAGTCATTTCTTCGCTAATATTCGCTCAACACAAAGGTACGAGTCTATGAATGCTTCACTCGCAATTGCACTGAAACACAAGAAGAATTATTTAGATGTTGTTCATGCAATTGAAGATGAAATTAGTAGAATGCGTCTAAACGAGTTGAAAGCGGATTACTTAAGTTCCCAGACAAAACCCTTCCAGATCACAAAACTGGTTGAATTTGAAAGTCATGCTCCTGAGATTTTTACGCGTGAATCTTTTCATGCGTTCCAAGAAGAACTTCAACAGGAGACATTATACCGGATTCAGGAAGAGATTCAGTCCTTATCAGATGAATGTCATTATTTTTATTTGAAAAAGTACAAAGAAAAAAATAGGCCATTTGAAATTAGTTTTGATTCTCGTACGGAAACCCTAAATTGCTCATGCAAAAAATTCGAGACCGTTGGACTTCTATGTCGCCATCAACTTCACGTTTTGAAGCACTTGGATTACACATATTTGCCCGGGTCTTTGATTCAAAGTAGGTGGACTAAGGATGCGAAGGCTTCTGCACTCAGTTTTGTTGATTTGAATGTGCCTCCAGAAATAATGCAAATGGCAAGGTTTGATTCTCTACGTGCAACAACAAGTATGTTATGCTACGCTACATCAAAAACAGACGCGTCTTTCAAAATCGCAAGAGATGAGATGAAAAGACTAACAGAAGAATTTGAGAACTCGTTTGGTTTGAATGATTCAGTCAATCGAAGCAGTGTATTAAACAATGTTCGTGACCCTCAACAAAGACAATGCAAGCGAAAAGAATTAACAAAGAACAAGGTCGAGAAGAAAATTAGGCGATGTGGGTTTTGCAACGGTGAGGGACATAATAAACTAACATGTCCTCAAGTCAAGTTGGGTTTGAATACAACCACGCAGTCTACTTCAACTGATTTTTTTGAAGACGGAATGGTTATTCAGTCCAACACATGATGTTAGAGACATTTGGAATAATGCAGAGAACGATCTCCATATATCAAAAGTATCAACATGACTCCTACTGTGTATAAGAAACATGTACAACAACATATTGTTATTGCTAACTTTTCTCATCTCATACATAATTACATTCACATTCAAATTGTCAGTACATTAAGTATTGTAAACCACGGCATTCAATATACGACTTTTAACAATTTAACCGCAAACTTATTTTTAATTCCACTTACAAAATCACCAGTTGCCCCTCTAGAACTGATCATTTCCATCTGCCATCAACTTCATATTATCTAGGTTAATCATGTTGAATGTATTGCCAATAAAACCTGGGGGTCCAAATGGTCAGCTAGGAATTGGTAAGGTAAGCTTCCTTTGGGGGTTTAGGTACTGAATCCCTCCGACGTAAGGAGTTCATGTTTGAATATTACAACTATATTTGTATAAAATTAAAAACAATTCTTCAATAACTAAATACAACTATTTAATGTAATGTTCAATCATGTACTCCTTACTTTGTAGGGATTCAGTCCTTAAACCCTCACAGAAAACTTGTCTTACCAATTCCTATCTTACCATTTGGACCCTGAAAGGGTATTTTATTAGCTATACAGTCAACATGATTATGAGATTCCTTCATCATTTTACATTCAGTCAGACTGTAGAGATTTGAAATTTGTAATAAATTAAAAGTTCTTAAAAACTTGAATCCAATTACATTAATACATTGATACTTACTGGTCGCTTTCGATTTTCTTCAATGTTGATACACTGGGGCTCCATTTGAAGGTCATCACCGTCAGAGTGGAAGAGTTCTCTACCTTTAGGGTTTTTCGATTTGAGTTTTGTATATAATTATGAAGGAAAAAAAACACGTGTAATTTTAAAA